CAATGGCGCGATCTTGGCTCACCGCAACCTCCGCCTCCTGGGTTCAGGCAATTCTCCTGCCTCAGCCTCCTGAGTAGCTGGGATTACAGGCACGTGCCACCATGCCCAGCTAACTTTTTGTAGTTTTAGTAGAGACGGGGTTTCACCATGTTGACCAGGATGGTCTTGAGCTCTTGACCTCGTGATCCACCCGCCTCGGCCTCCCAAAGTGCTGGGATTACACGCGTGAGCCACCGCGCCCGGCAACAAATTTTTTTATTGAGGGAACCAATAGGTACAGGTCCCAGTTGTCTCAGATTAGCAGACTGAATTGTAAAGTCAACAGCATTTTTAGTACTAATTTAATGGTGTGATACTGCATTTCCTCCAGCTAATATGGCATGCTTCAGGTAGAAGGATTCCACTTAAACATAGTGAGCGGAATGATTATGAAAATAAACCCTGAAAGTTTTATCCATAAGCTCCATTTTAAGGCAAAATCTTTGGAATATAAGTTACTAAACCAATTACTATCATATAGAGAGATACTGTTTATTTTAGATTGAGGAAGATCGAGCTAAGGGGAAACATATTGCTATTTTAAAATAGAAAAGTTATTAAACTCCTGTGCTGTGTCCCTCCAGAGACTAAAATTAGGATCTCTGAATGGAAAATCTACAGAAGCAGATTTTAGTTTAATGTATATTAACACAATTTCATTTGCCATTTATGGAATACTGGCTTTGCACCAAAGAGCAGTATAGATGTATTTACCCCTGTTATCTCATCTGGCCATCAGTGTAACCCTTGAGGTACATATTATTATCTTCATCTTACAGATGAAGAAACTGACGTTCAAAGAGGTTCAGGGTCACTTACTGAGCTCATAAGAGCTCATGCCTCTCTTACTGTGCAATTACTAATAAAAGTGTTGTACTATACTCTTAGTCATTTCAAATTAGAATTAGTATTAGTCATTTCAAATTAGAATTAGGAATGTTTAAACTTGACTTTGTTACAAGCTTTTCAAAAAAAAGAAAAAAACATTTGGCAGGCTAAACCACATTCCCCTGCTGATAACTACCTGATCTTATCTTGGTTCCTGGTCCACATGTATTTTGGATGTTTGATTTGGGGGTTCAAGCCATCTTCCCTGAAAGTCACAATGAAAATCTTATTTTAGAAGTGGGAGGTTATCTTTCACTCAGCCTCCTAATGGCTTTTTCATTAGAGAAAGCATATTTATAATTTCAATAGAAAAAACATATATATAATTTACCTGTGAAAAAACGATTTCAGATGCTGACTTGGGACGCTGTCTCACGGCAGACGGTCTTTACCTGTATACTACTAACTCAGTTGGAAGAGGAGTAAGCAAATTGGGGTCTGGATTACATGGTACTCTCAGGTCAGTTGCATGGCACTTGCTGAATGATTTGGCTGGAACATTTTCCTCCTTACATAAATCTCTGTGAAGAAGACACTGGGGGTACATTCCAACTCCCCATAGGCTAGTAACTAAGTAACAAGTCTGAACTAATTCAAATAATTGCAACCTTCTCTTATTGTCACCTCTCTCCATCTTGTTCTGTTAGTGCATTTTAGCTTTATTTTGGCTCTGAAGAGCTTGGTAGCCCCAAGATCATTGTTTCCAGCCAGAAAGTCCTCTGTGATCAGTATTTTTGCAACAATGTCAGCGACTTCTCCATGTTGATAAGTGGACATTTTTCTACTTAAGTCTCTCTGAACTTGGGTTTGACATTGGATTACCAAGTGATTTTCAGTTGTGATATAAGACCTATAAACTGCTGCCAAAATAATCTGCAGTTTAAGAGCCTTGTATACACTTAGATCTTTTCCCCAACTTCTTCTCTCCTCTAATTTATTGTGGAAAGAAGTCAATATTTGCTATAGTTTGTCAGTGCTGAAGTATATGTAATACATTCACTTTCCTTCAGATGTTTTACATACTTAATCATTTTTTAAAATTAGGTTGAAAATGTTGTTTGTGTCTGTTTTGACATAGCCAGGTGATTCAGCCTGTGCTCCGTTTTCTTCCACAGAGGTTTTGTGTACTGCCGAAATGAGGAGTTGGAACCAGGATGGGTGGCTTTTGGCAGTGGCAGTCTTCTCCACCGGCCTGTCTCTTTCGATAATAAACCTCATTCCCTTTTCCAGGTCATTGACCAGAACACCCTTCAGGTAAACAGAAAACTAAGGCCATATATATATATATTAGAGGCAGTAAGGGAAGTTACCGACATCATCAGAATTAATAATATATTTTCCTCCCAGAGTGACATCCTTTTAATTGTTATAGTTTGGGCATTCTGTTTTTTTCTTTAATGTCTTAGACTTTTCCCATGTGAGCTGAGTGAATGTGCTCTTTAAGTTTCTACAGCCTACAACAAACTTTTTTTATGATTAAGAAAAAATTCTAGACAGTCAAAGATGGTATAAATACTAGCTGGTTTTTTTTTTTTTCTTTTTTGAACCAGATCTATTTTGTGAAGGCATCATTTCCTTATTCAGTTTGTTCTAAACAGCCTCTCTGTGGGAAAGGGAGCTTTGAAATGAGTGTAGAGTAAAATCATTGTGTGCTAGGGATTGAGAGTTTGGCTTTAGTACTCTCATAAGCATTCTGCCTTGGCACTTGCCATATTACACTGCAGTTACCTGCTTTTCTGCCTGACTTTACCGATCATGCACACCTTTTGGCCTGGACGCTGTCCTACTCATCTGTGTATTCCTAGAATATAACATAGTGCTTGACATTTGACTGATAATAACAACAATGATGGTAACTACCATTCCTCACTATCTCCTATGTTCTAGGCCCTGGCCTAGGCAATTTGCGTACATTTCCTCTTTCTACCTGTGAGGCAAAGCTATAGGTCTATCTTACAGATAAGGCAACTGAGGCCAAGCACCTAATAAGCATTCAGTAAGTGTTTATTGTTGAGTGAAAGAATGCAGCTCAGAGAGGTTAAGTAACTTGCCCAAGGCCACACAGCCAATAGTAGCAGCACCAGAACTTGAACCTTTGGTTCTCTGCTCTGAAATTTGAACTATTAACACTGTAACTTTCTGTCTTTCATCCAAAGTTGGATTAAATGATTAGAGTTGGCATCTGTGGAGTGAGTGCCCCAAGAGTAGTCACATTTAGAAATTAAGTGGAATGCTACATTTCTTCCTGTCTGTCACTTAGCTGCCTGTCCTAGAGAACAGGGACTGAGTCTTGTTCACCACTGTCATCTCCAGAGCACATAGTAGGTGCTTAATAATTATTGGATGAATAAAATGAACAAATTAACAAATAGATGCCCGATTGACCTAATTTCTTGTCACAAGTGCAGACAGATGAGGATGTCACATATTCATTTGAAGCAGAAGTTATAAGACTGGAAGTTAAACAGATGTTAAATCTCGGAACATGGTTTGCATTTGAAGTAATGCCAAGTTCCTCAGTGTTGTTGCAGAAACTTTGACACTGTCCAAGAAAGCAGGGCTGTAGGTCACAAACTAGATATGTGCATTGGGAACATTTTGGGGATAGCACAGGCCATTTAGTAGCTGTCAACTTTCTAGTCTTCCTGGCACTGTAGGTTCAAAGTATGGTTACATCAACTAAATGAGTTTTTACCTTTGAGCTAGACAAAACAGGTCTGGAAAAAAGTTCATGTGAAATCACTTGAGGGGTCAGAGATAGCCTTGGGAAAACTAGTGCCCCCTCCAAAGTAATAGGGAATTGAGCATTGTTCTTACTGTTGTTGTCTGAAGGGATCCGACCCTCTTTAATTATTTTTATTTTGAGCTTCTCAACTCTTCTATTTCTGAATTTTTTTTTTTAAACCTAGCCAGCAGATTTTTGTGGTTCTAATGTTCCCTCATTTTAAGCGCTTATCTTTGGGAGTAAAAATTAGTATGTAGCTACACATTTAATGTGAAATGATGCAAAGCTTACTCATTATGCTCAAACGGAAGGATGTTTAGTATTAGAAACACGTGCCTTCATGTCTAATATACAGAATTGTTGTCTTTTCCTCCTGATGGACTCGGTGAATTTTAATAACCTTCATGTTCTAAGTTAGGCTCTGTCATGAGCCTTTATATTTTTTACTTTGTTTCTCCTTCTCCCTCTTCTCAGCTTTCCCTCTTGGCTTTCTTTTGCTGTTTCTTTTTTCCTTCCTTCCATATTCATTAAATAACTTTGAGTTAGGCTTTGCATTAGGTACTGGAGATACAAAGGTAAATAAAACACAGTTCTTGTCCTTTAAATAAAATTATTTTAAATTCATTTCCTAAAGAAATTTCAGAAAGTGCTGCTTCTCTAAAACTTTGTTTTTAATAAGTGTTAGATACAACACATATGTGTAATAGATTCAAAGTGTTTGGTAAATACTTTTGCTTCTTAAAAAGTAATTTGAATCAATCCCAAGAACCTTTTCATCTGTTGCATGGCTATTCATATTTATTCTATTGCCCATTGTATTAACTTTTATATTTTTGCCATATAATTTGCATATATTTTTCTTAGAGATAAATATCCATTTTATTTTGACCAGGAAGCCTAGTGAATTCTCATCTTGGACATAATAGCATTAATGATGAGCTGATAGGATTAATCAGAATTTATATGTGGCTCTAATAGAGATTTCCCCCCTTTCATGCCCAGGTGTGCCAGGTGGTGCCAATGCCAGCCAATCACCTCCCCATTGGCAGCACCATGAGCACAGTGCACCTGTCTTCAGATGGCACTTACTTCTATTGGATCTGGTCTCCTGCCAGCCTGAATGAGAAAACACCGAAAGGACATTCTGTCTTCATGGACATTTTTGAACTTGTGGTAAGTTTTAACTTTCTCGCTTGTGTCTTTGAGAAACATTTCTGTTTGCTTTATTTTTATATTGGTGTACAAAGGGCCTAAGAACCTTGCAGCATGTATAGTGTGTTCAGTGTTTCCTTAAAATTGATTTTTCTCTTAGCTGTCTTTGAAGGTTTCTTTGTTTGGAGTTGTATGACATAAACAGAGCCAAGCTTTCTGAAGGTTAATCTGGTGACAGGAGATAACATTATTTAATGTGTAGACAGTAGGATATTTAAGTAGAAGTGTGCACAGTCTGTTGGAAATGTGGGACAAAATTACAGTAGCAAGAATGGGACTACAGATAGTAATTGAGAGTCTCTGAGAGAGATGACAAAATTGTGACAAGTCATTTACCTTTTAGATAGCCAAATGCTTACTGAGAGCCAAGCGTGTTCTATCTAGGTGGTGGGAGTACAGAGATGGGCAGGGTGGGCAGGGTTCTTGCCCAAATGGGACATGTATTCAGGCCCCAGAGTTGGGTGGGTTGGGGTGATGGTGGTGAAGAGACGTAAAGATTAACCACAAGCGAGTAAGCAAATAAGTGCACAAGATAATCCTAGGTAGTGAAGAAAAAGTAGTAGTGTACCAGATGAAGAAGTTGGGGAGTAGGTGAGGGAAGAACATTCCAGGAAGAGGAGACCACACATGCAAAGTGTCTGTGGCAGGAGCCAGCATGTTTTAGGGAGAAAAAGTGGGCCAGAGTGGCTGAAATGCAGAGGGAGGAGGGCTTGGGGTAAAAAGCAGCTGGGAGCCACGGTGCTCTAGACCGCACTGTCCTGCATAGTGGCCGCTAGCCATACGTTGCTATTTAAATTTCACTTGAAATTTAATAAAATTAAAACTGTAATTACTTAGCTCTATTAGCCATAGTTCAGGTGCTCAGTAGCCATGTGGCTGGTGGCTTCTTTGTTGAACAGCAAAGACATAGAACATTTCCATCATGAATAATGTTCTATTGGACAGAGATGGTCTAGGTAGTATTTGTAGAGACTTATAAAAGAACAGATTGCTCCAAGCCAGGTCTATGACAAAACCTTTTTTCATGAGTTCATTTACAGTCTCCTTCTGGGAAGAAATTAACATTCCTGTTTAAAAAAAAAAAAACACCGAAGCAATTTTCTAATAAATTTTAACAGGATTAAAACACATTCTGGGAAATCAGCTATCCAACGCAGCAGCAGACTATCAGTTAGGAGTCTCGTAACCTTTAACTGTGCATGTTCTTTTTCTATCGAGTCTCACCGTGTCCTCTAGCTATTATTTTATAAAATGTCCCTGCCAGAGTGAATCTTTGAATTGGTCTGCTAGAGATTGAACATGTGTTCATAATTGTCAGAAAAGCTTTTTTTTTTTTTTTTTAATTGGTTTTTAAAGAGATTTACCAGCTATGTAAGGAATTTTCATTTAGGTCTTGGCTGAGCACAGTGGCTCACACCTGTAATCCCAGTGCTTGGAAGGCTGAAGTGGGAGGATCTGTTGAGCCCAGGAGTTTAAAAAGGAAGCTGTAACTTGAAGTGGCAGTGTTTGTCTGAGATGATGGTACTCCTGCTCTGTCAGAGACCAACCTGGGCAACATAGTGAGACCACGTCTCTGCAAAAAAAACAAAAATTAGCTGGGTGTTGTGGCATGTGTCTGTAGTCCTAGCTATTAAGGAGGCTGAGGCAGTAGGAACACTTGAGCCTAGGAGGTCGACCAGAAGGTTGATCAGGGTGGTAGTGAGGCCTGATTGTGCCAGTGCACTCCAGCCTGAGTGACAGAGACAGACCCTGTCTCAAAAAAAAAAATTAGGTCTTTAGCCTAAGAATAATGGGAACATTGAAGAATTCCCTGCTTCTCTGATATACTTTTGTTAAATTAGAAGAAAAAATTATATCAAAGAAACTCACACACTTCTTTTTATATATAGGCTCATAATGAAAAACAGGAGACCCTTGCCCCACTCCTCCATTCCCAGCATGCTTTTCAGGCAGTCACATCCTTCTGGTGATAACCTTCATATCCCTAAGTAAAATGCTTATATTGCTGATTTTTGATTTATGATTGCCAGACATAAACCAAGTTGATTTTTCTTTCGTTTTTGCTGTGATAGATGAGGGTTTGTCTCAATTAATTTTCCTTCTTTCTTTTCTTTCCTCCTATTTTTTTTTTTTTTAGAGAGAGAAAGAGAGGGTCTCACTTTATTACACAAGCTGGAATGCATTGACACAGTCATGGCTCACTGTGACTTCAACCTCCTGGGCTCAGGTGATCCTCCCACCTCAGCCACCTAAGTAGCTGGAACTCAAGTGTGCATGACCACATTCAGCTAGTTTTTGTGTTTTTTTGTAGAGACAGAGTTTTACCATCTTGCCTGGGCTGGTTTCGAACTCCTGAGCTCAAGCGATCAGGGTGACTCAGCTTCCCAAAGTGCTGGGATAACAGGCCTGAGCCACTGCACCTGGCCTCCCTCCTTCATTTCTGATTCTGCCTAGCCTATTGATTTCTTTTGTTTTCGTTTTTCTTTTAGTTATCTTTGTAATTTATAGTTAAAACTTTATTTCTTGTTCATGAACTCTAGGCAGTATCTCTTGTCTACTTTAGGAGATCAGATGGAGAGTATGGTGTTCTTTCCCATACTTCCATGTGGAGAAAGCCAAGTATACATGTAGGGGAATACCCAGAGGAAGAGAGATGACTCACCCCCACCAGCCCTAGAGCATCTTAGCAATTGGGACATGAGATGTGGTGCAGAGCCATTGTGAGACAAGGTGGTAGACTGAGAGTTTACGTAAGGGCCTGTAGGCCCCCCTCCTGCTTACAACATTTGCATTCAGATGCTGGCTGTCCAGGCCCAAGACTTAGTTACTTTCTGAAGAAACTGAAACCCTCGAAAAAAGACTTCTCATACTGATGTTGGGCTTGTCTAAGGGAAAAGACTTGCCTCCCTGGTGAATCACTCACAAGTGATGTCTTCCAGCAAGCAAGCCTCAACCCTGTCCACAGAATTCCTGATTAGTATTGAACTGTTTAAAAAGAGCAGACAAAATAAAAACCCAAAAAAACAAAACTTCAAACCTTGGAGAGGTATGTATGTAGAGGGGAGGCAAACAGGTGAAAAAAATAGTGATAATGATTAAAGCCAGGGGTGCAGCATATAGTAAGCTCATTACTCTATTCTTTCCTTTTGTGTTTGTTGAAATTTTCCCCTAATACAAAGTTTTAAAATTAAACAAAAAGAACAGACTACCAAGTATCACTAGAAAAGCGAAGAAAGCTTCTAATATGAATATTAAAAATTAGAAACAGTTAACAAACAGCTAACTGAAGGAATAGATTAAAACTTCACATAAGCACTAACTGCTTTGTGAGATATGAGAAGACACTGCATTCATATTATAAAACAGGACAGGATGCTTCAAAAAGGAATTATCAGGGAATGAGAAAATTAAAATTAGTAAAAGAGTTAAGAAACATATCACAAAGTACAAATAGATAAAGAACAGTAAATACTGTTTATTTACCGTTAAATAAATAGAGAAAAGATAAAAGGTGTAGTGGAGCCATCCATCTAAAGTCTTGCTAATAGGAGTTCCAAAAAGAGAACAGAAAATAAAGAGGATGACATGATCAAGAAATAATACAGACTGGGTGTGGTGGCTCATGCCTATACGCTAGTACTTTGGGAGGCCAAGGAGTACAAGACCAGCCTGAGCAACATAGTGGGATACCATCTCTACAAACATTTTTTTTAGATTATGCAGGCATGGTGGCACATTCCTGTAGTCATAGCTACTTGGGAGGCTGAGACAGGAGGATCACTTGAGCCCTGGAGGTCAAGCCTGCAGTGAGCTGTGATCTCATCACTGCATTCCAGCCTGAGTGACAGACCGAGAACCTGTTTCAGGAAAAAAAAAAAAGAAAGAAATAATACAAGAAAGATTTCAGACTGATGGACGTTGGTATCTGGATTAAAAGCTATCTGACACAGTGAATGCAAATTACCCACACCATCATGAAATTTCAGATTACCAAGGATAAAAGAGGATTCTAAAGCTTCCAGAAATGTCAAAAAATTATATACAAATGTTGAGCAATTAGAAAAGCACCAGGCTATCCAATAGCATTCCTGAAGGTAAAAATGGAGCAGCACTTTCAAAATTCTGAGGGAAATTGTTTTTATTTCTTTTGTCTTTTCTTTTCTTTCTTTTTTTTTTTGAGATGGAATCTTGCTCTGTCACCAAGGCTGGAATGCAATGGCATGATCTTGGCACACTGCAACCTCTGTCTCCCGGGCTCAAGCAATTTTCCTGCTTCAGCCTTCCAAGTATCTGGGACTACAGGCCACCATGCCCAGCTAATTTTTGTATTTTTAATAGAGACGGGGGTTTCATCATGTTGGCCAGGCTGGTCTAGAACTCCTGACCTGAGGTGATCCACCAACCTTGGCCCCCCAAAGTGTGGGGATTATAGGTGTGAGCCACTTTGCCTGGCCTTGGATCTTCCTTTTCTAGTTCAGCGTCCTCTGCCTCCTGCCAGAAATTGTTTTTCAACCCAGAAGAATGTATTCAACCAAAGTATCAATCAACTGTGAAGACAACATAAAGATATATTTAGACATACAGTTATACAATCAAAGCTGATACCTGCCTTGGAGGAAATAGAACAATTAAAACAGTCCTTGCCTGTGGCATGAAATAAAAAACTGGGGAGGAAGGAACCTGCTCTAGATTAAAAGAACAACTTTTGAATAATTTTCAGAGTCTGAATAAACCAAACCAATTGTAAAAAAATATTTTTGGAGCTAATTTAAATATGAAAGTATTAGGGGCTGGGTGCACTGTCTCATGCCTGTAATTCCAGCACTTTCTGAGGCCAGCGGGGGTAGATCATGAGGTCAAGAGATCGAGGCCATCCTGTCTAACATGGTGAATTCCCGTCTCTACTGAAAATGCAAAAATTAGCAGAGGGTGGTGGCGGGTACCTGTAATCCCAGCTACTC